CATTTGTCAAAGTTGTCAGACTGTTGTATAGAAAAGGAACACATGACATAGTGCCACATAAGTACAAACCTTGAGAATCACTCCCATTCCAACAAGATCACGAGTATAAAATTCATCTTCTTCCAACAGTGGTCTATCATCTTCCTTTACAAGTTGAACCAACAAGTTGCCTAGCCTGAAATCAATAGTTTTAATTAGGAATGCATGAGTTTGAACTAAATTAAAAGCACTAATGTGACTGTACATATTAAATCATATTTGGAGCATAGCTGAAAATTGTTTAACCTTAATTTCAAGCAAAAATGGAGGGATGAATTTGAAAGATAATTCTTTCTTGTGTTGTATTGATTCAAATGTCATTGAACAAGAAACATTAGAATATTGGTCATGCTTCATCTGGTGATGAATTTTTGACTGAATAGTAACTTTTATATATACTCTAGAAGAAATTGAACTAAACTGAATGACTGACACACCAACCACACCATCATTAGAAGTTTTCCTGGTAAAGGTAAATGTTTACATTCAAAGCTTTCCTTGAAATATAATGCAGATGTTATATATTTATTTTCAGTATCTTCCTACATACAAAGTCCTTAACTAGTGAAATGCAAGTCCTGAAAGGTTAAAGCTTCATTTGTGGAACATTTGGAACCCTTTAAAATATATTACAAATTTACAGGTTGAATCCTAGTAAATAATGTTGTGACATGATTTGGAACTTATTTGGCAACCAGCATCAAGCAAGAAACTTTCTTTCCATCAAGAGATTTGCCACATGAAGAATTTGCATTTCATTTGCTTATATTGGATTAGATGAGTTGCTTCTAAGATTGGAAATATAGAAGAAAAGTAACAAGAATGAAGTAAGCCATAAATAAATTAAAAAAACTCAGTGTAGGCCACCTGATCCACTGTATCAACTCCCCTGAACCTAAGTATCCAACCCTTCCGCCCAGGATGTTCCCTTCCTTCAACAAGCTCCACTTCTTCAATTGTTTCAGTACCTGAAACTTGTTGCCTTAACCATCTTCTGCCAGCCTGGAAAAACATCACTCTCCTTGCAGTGAAACAAGGATTGTCCACCAATAATAACTTAAATCTAAGTGTCTTGGCAGATTAAACAAAAATAAATAAATCCAAAGCTGAAAATTTTCTTCAAAACTTCATTTACCTTGCAAAACCGTAACTCAGGAAAACTAGTGTTGGGTTTGACACAAACCTCCCCTTGAATCCCATGAACACCAAGTATGAAGCCAATCTCAACAAAACCAGATGCTATCTCAGTCATTTCAATTACTTCTTGTGTAGCTAAAGTTACATAACAAGAGGAAAAAAAAATCATAACTACCATCATGT